AATATTTATAAAAAAATTTTAAATGCATAATAAGTGAAAGGTTAGTTAAAAAAATATATGGTTGACTTCCAATTTTTTTTATTAATAATAATCAACTTAAATTAATTTATATTTGCTTCTGTATAACACGTCATTTGCAATAGTCTAAAAAGTAATTAAAACTAAATGAAAATAAAAAAGCTTTAAAAAACAAATCAGCTAACAAATATTTTGAAACATTCCAATCAAGTTATACACGTTCCGGCATAATATTTTCATTTAGTTTATTATTATTAGAATGGACAACGTCACACAACAACTTATGAAATTTAATGTATTCTTCGGTTCGACAAAAGCTTAGCTTAGTATAATATTTGGAAAAAAAATATTTAAAGCATTGTATTAACAATAATGTATGGTAGATATATAGTTGGAAGTCTTTAAAGGCAAAAATCTATCTGTAGACTGTTTTCTAGCATAGTGACCTGTTATAGCATTGTTATCTTGAGTATAGTATTTCGTGTCATGTTCACACCGGAATTAATTGCTATGACTCTATTGACAGTTTCATAACGACACAAATCGATCATATCATGACCTCTGTTATCTTCCTAAAAAAGTTGAATCATTTAAAAAATATCGGTTCTGAACGAAGTTAAAACATTTCTTTGACTGTCTGCCTTTTATTTGGACCAGAAGGAATATTATTTAAAAGATCTGACACAGTTTTCCATTTCGTTGGAATCTCTTCTATTCTATTACCAATAATATTCCGACAATTCTAAAATCTATCGTAAATATCAATCTATGTAAGTAGTCCTGCATATATTATAAAAACTATATGTTTAATATCATTACTTTTTTATTCCATACTCCTTTAGGAGCTTAAGGATACAACAAATGATTTCTAACTATATCTATTTTGTGAAGTTTGTCGAAATTCGTTAAACGATTTGCCAGTTTCAGTATCGATGCATATCGTTGGCCTGCCTCTACGCGGGGTTCCCTGGGGATTCCATGCTAGCGCTACGTGCAGAATATCGTTATAAGGCATAACGCAGGGTAAGTTCAATACGATTTGTTAAATTAATAAATTAATAGCAAAATCACTAACGATAATAATATTGACATTAACGAATTTATTAAGAATATGAGTTGGTGAAAAATCGATTCCTTGAACTGAATTGTGTATACCATATATTAGAAAAATCATCACAATTATTTTTAGATCTTGGTAATACTTACTTTTCTGCTAACTCAATATTAACAGAACACTTTGCATAGAGTATAGAGTAAATGTGATTCACAATTTTGAATAACTTAATCGACAATTATATACGTCATAATAATTTAAGTTATTCATATGAAATGGAATTAAAATACACAAATAAAATTGGAAAAATTACTACAGTAGTAAAAAGTGTAAAATTGTGAACATAGCAAAAAAAAACCCAATAAATTTGAATGAATGAATCAATGAGTCATGAAATGGTGTGTACATATTTTAAAATGTGTAATGCAAGCAAAACGTAATCACAACAATATATTTTCAAATTAAAAAAGAATTAATAAAAAAAAATATATGCAATAATTTCTTAATTTTGTTAATTTTTATTTTTTTTTTTTTTTTTCGAAATATAAACAAATTTATTTGAAAAATTGCTTTAGAGCCATGATGCATGCACATGTGCATGAAATGTTACAACGATTTTTATATCGCAAAATGAGAAAATGTCAGCAGCGACTAGGCTAATGAACTGCTGACGTTGCACTACTAAAACTGCAGCAGCGCGGGAGGCAAAAAGTTATTAAACTCAAATTATAAATACCAAAGATATAACAATTTTTGCAGCCGCAACATCACAACAAAGCGCAGTCTTCCTCTGAGTAGTGTAGTTTGCCTCTTTGGCATATTCGAATTTATGGTTTCAGATTTTTGATTTTTTTTTGTATTTTTTATTTTTTATTTCTTATTTTTGTCTTGAATTTAAATGTGTTAAATAAGAAAATTGCAGGAAATTTCATTTGAAATGCGTTCATTAGAGTTGACACAGTTGAGTTGAAATTGTTATAGATACAGAATATCTTATATTGCATAGAGACCGATCTATGGCTATACACACTCAAGTATTTAAGTATTTTATTTATATGTATGATGCTCTGGATTTTAATAATAGTAAGAAATTCAAAAAATATTTAAGAAACTATATTTAGCTTAAAAGTATTAAAATGTGATATGCATACATATTTTATCATTTAGACCTAGAATATAAAATAAATGCTAGCGAAACTATAGTTTTATGATGTTGAAGAAATGCTTTTAAACTAAAATATTTTCTTAACAAGAAATAACAATATTGTATAGATATAAAATGAGATTAAAGATATAACTCATCATATATTCTAAAAAAATTTATATAACTATACATAGTACTATTAGATATATTGTATGAATAATCAATTAACAAAGTAATAAAATTTTATTATTCGTTTTTTATTATTTCACACTATACAATTATCTATAATCTTTTTTTATATCAGATTTTTTAAAATTTATATTACAAAACAATCATATACAAATAAACAAAATTCGTCAAAATTATTATTAGCAATGATTACTTAATGCTTATAAACAATGAAAACCATATATCAGAACACATTAGATAAATCAAAATAAAAAATTCTTGCTAATTGACATGTTTCACACGCGCTTAAGATATATTTAGATGGATCGATAGATATAAATCTTAAGTAAACATATGCCAACAAATTTTATTAATTGTAAGAGTAAATGCAATATGTAAGCAAATAAATTGATTTATAAAACAAAATTGGAAAAAATTGTATTTCTATATACATATATACGAGTATGTTGTACATAAATACAATGCGAATTGCGAATTCATAAAAACAAAAGTCTACATAAGACAACATTATGAATTCTTAAGATTTGGCACATTTATAGACATACATACGTATATTCATTTGATATGCATATCCAGTATTACTAGAGCGTATGCTTTGAAATACATATTATACAAAATATGTGTACATTTTGAAGACTTGCCGGTTCTGCAAGTAGTACGAGCCCATTTTTGTAGCATACTAAGGAACAAGTTCTTACAAAACTTGTTCTAGAAGAACATTTTTTTTAATTATGCTAATTTTTAATATCTACATGAGTACATGTATAATTTTACTGGCAGTTAACAATAAGGAAGTATTTGATTTTTTTTTCTCTATTTTTTGCTTTCGATTTTAATTAAATTATGCTTAGTGTAGCATTTTTGTTTAGTTTTAATGCATTTTAATTAGCTATAATTTTTCATTTAATTGTGGCTGTAATTATAATTTATCATAAAGAAAACAATTAAATAACAAAACAAAAGCTACAAGTCAATTGTTTAAAGTACAACTAATAGTAGTAAACTAAAGTGCCTTCATTATTACTGTGTGTGAAGTGGTGCTCTTTTATATATAAAAAATAATAATACTTCAAATAAATTGCGTTGGCCAATTTCAATTTCCATTTCCATTTGAGAAATAATTTAAACAGTTTTACAAGTTAATTGTTTTTGCCCATATATTTAAATATTTACTTCAAATTATTCAAGTGTTTTTATACTGATAGCTTTCACTGTAACCTATAATCGTAAGTGGGCGATTAAAAATTACTTCCTAAAAGTTGAAAACTCACACAAATTTATAAGGAAATATTTTGTAAATGATTCATAATGTACTAATATCAACAAAATGACGCAAGTAAAAAAACAAAAGAATTTTTAGATATTTTGTTCTTAAATGCACAATATTTATATGCAAGTTAAAAATATCAAATAATAAGTCATCAGCAAAAAAATTTATTTAAATAATGGAATTGCCTTCTGATTAAGTTTTTCTTAAAATAGACCATCTAATTAAGTTTAATAATTTTAATTTTTAATATTTTTTTAAGTTTATTTAGTCATCAGTTATAATGATGATTAAACTAACTACTTAATTATATTTTAATTTAAAAAATATTTACTTTATTGTAAAATAAAAAAGAATAGCGGGAAACTATATCAAAGTTAATTACTCATAACAACTGAAGGTGGTTACTTTCCTTGCCCTTCAGGAAAGTGACATTCAAAACCAGCAATAAACAATAACATAATAATTATATTACAAATAAGCTGCTCTACTTTTTTCTTGATATTGTGAAGCTTATTACGCTTTTAATAAACAAAGTTTTGAAACCCAGATCAATAAATAATATATGAAATTATCTTTAAGTCCCATAATGTAAATACATTCCTGACCTCCTGCTATCTCCTATATCAATGGTAAACAAAACATTTCTTTGAATCGAGAAATGATCGCTTGCAAACTACTATAGATACACACTATACTTAGTATACTATACTAAGTAGTGTAACTACTATACATAAACATATATTTAAATCGAATAATGTAAATATATTTTTTCGATCGCTTGTAAACTACTATACCAAAAGTAAACAAAATATTTATTTGCATCTCATAATTCATAAAAAATAATTCATCAAAAGAACAAAATAATTGTTTTAATAAAATTAAAAAATTTTAATTATTATGTTTAATTTTTGTTCTATGTGAAAAAAAAACCCTAAATAAATGCTGTTCATTTTTTTAATATCAACAGGAAGTATTTTCAAATTAGAATTCAAATAAAAATCTTATCTATATGCAATCATATCTTGATTTACGAAACATATAATTTAACTAATCTTATATTTTTGTTAGCCCTAAACGATAACTCATGGCTAAAAATAAAATTATTTCATTATAACAGTGTGGGCTAGAACAATCAAAGCAATCATTTTAGTTTGGCCGACTAATCTTTTATCTGAATATTAGATAAATTTGCAATAATATATACATTACTCATTGCCAACGTCGACTACTACAACCACAATCTCAATTATGTATATTAAAATTATATATATTAAAATTATATATATATATACTTATATATAAAAAGTAAGAAATTTGTAGCTTACCTTCTGCGTATAAAGACGAAGAATTGTACCGACGTCGTTCATAACAATAGTCCAAGTTATTTCCCAACCAATTTTCAACTGTCAAATCTGTTGGGTTACGTTGCTTCTGTCCACCGCCGTTGTTATCTTGCCGTTTCTGTTGATGATTGTTGTTACGCGATTTTCGTTGTCTATTACCGTTTTGTTGATGATGACCATGATGATTACTGCTGTGCTGTTGTTGCTGCTGCTGATGATTCTGATGATTATGACCATTGTTTCCAGCAAAACTGGAATCATATGACTCATTCTTAGAACTTCCATTTAATTGCTGTGCTTGCAAGGCATCTCTATTCGATGACTTGGAGTTAACATGACCAGCTGTGCTACTCTTATGTTGCATAGTGTCATCTATAAAATACAACAATAAAGAAAAATAAATACAAATTAATAAATATTTATATTTACACATATTTTAAAACAAAAAACAAAAAAAAAATGTATCTAGCTTTTAATACCTAATATAGTATTTATATTTTTCATCATAAATATTGAATTTTATTTTTTTATACAGAAATGTTGTATTAATCATACGAAGCGCTTCAGGAGCATCTATCTGAGTACGTGTGCTTTGCTTTAAAAACTTGACTAAACTGAATTCGCACATATACCCAAATAAGGCTGGCTGAAAGCAATTTATTATTGGAATGATTGTAATAATAAACGGTTTTGTATGACGAAATTTTATTTTTTCTTTTCGAAAATGACAACTGAGTCATACACGTTCTAAATATTTGCTGACATATGTTTGCTTCGAAGTGTTTTATTCGACTTAACAATTTACTGGTTGCGCTCTCTATTCGATTGTTGCGGGTTTGTACGGACGGAAAACTAAAACCCACGAATAAAATTTATTCATATTCGTGAGTGATATCAAAACAATATACGTAGTAAAAAAATACACATTTCTTTATTCATTCTTAGTACTATCAATTTGTAGTTTATTGTTTATATTCAAGTCTTTTCAATTCACAAAACTGATAAGCAGCCTTACAAGATCAACTCTAACTAACATATCAATAGATTTATATTGATATTAGAAAAATTCCCATAGTGTTTCGCAGAAATTCCCCGAGTCATATACAAAGTGTCATATAGTTTATATGTTTGTTATATATACTAATTATATTTAATCAATTATTAGTTTCATTAAAATATGTTTTAATTTTTCTAGTTCATATAGCGTTTTGAAGAAAGTTAGTAATTAAGTTTTTCTATAACTTCAACAGGCGCACATACATTGCAGTATAGTTACCTTTGCACGAAGATAAAATGTGTATGAAACCTACCTTAAGTTTAGAAATTTCAATATTATTGTTTATTTATTTTTTTCTTTATTATTTATACCTTGTCAAGTACCGATAAGATAAACTTTATGAGTTAACCGAACAATGGTTTGCGGTTGTTGCCAGACTACAGTGAGTATTAGCACATTTTCTGATATAACATTTTAAGTCCAGCAACGTACACCAGATATTAAATGCCGTCTGTAGACTTATTAGAAACAATTTATTTTTAATTATGTGTAAATATAATATAAGGTTTTTCAGAGAAATTGCGCGTTTTATTTAGAAAATTCTATTATTAAGGAATTATTAAGAGACGGTTTCAAATTGTTATTTGTTTTTTTTTTTTTGTAAACAAAATTTTCAAACGAATACTTTAAATAAATAGGGAATTTATTTTATTATTATGCAGAAATTATTATTGATATAGTATGATATGATATAATTCAGAAATTATAACAACAATTAAAATGATTGAAATTAAATTAAATCGAATTATTAAGAGACGAGTAAAAGTAGTTATTCATTTTGTAAAAAAAATTTAAACGATTTTAATTTATATTATTATATTATTACTATATTGTTATTATATTATTATTGTATTATTTTAATATAATGCAAAAATTATTATTCACATAATTTAGAAATTCCTTTTCTTTTAATTATTATTGTATTATTTTAATATAATGCAAAAATTATTATTCACATAATTTAGAAATTCCTTTTCTTTTAATTAATTATTATAAATTATTATAATCTTTCTTCCATACTTTCTCTATATATATATATAAATAGTATATATAAATAACAAGAAAATAAACAAATAATAAACGAATTAAAATAAAATTATATTAAAATACAATAGTATTATTTTATTTTCTCTCTACAAAATAATTTTAATAATTATTTCAAAATGAATTACCAATTTTATATTAAATATTATTTTCTTTTGTATATACTGTAAATGATAATATTAGCATTATATATTAATCTATGATAGATTGATTTACATATTTATAATTTCACAATTAATTGTGTTAATTTTATATTCATGTAAAAAAAATTATAAATTATAAACCTTTAAGTAAGAAAAACTAATATTAATGGTAAACAATTATATAATCAATAACAACAATTATTTATCAGTTAATCCCTACGCAAAATCGTACAATTGCGTATTAGTGACGTCAATAGAATTTTATATTCGAGTAACTCAACATTCTAAATTATAGAAACATTAAAAAGCAAACAGAACCGAATATCTATAAATGTTGTAAGATTTTTATTTTTATTTTTATATTTGTTAAATACAATTTACATACTCTATATAGCGTATATAGTATAGCGGAACAAAGAAGGTGTATTGTATTTTTAAAAGCAAAAATACTCTAGTGAGAATAGGTGCTGGTATTATTACGTTATTTCCTGTAAAGTTTTTTTTTTTTTCATTTACTTCTAATCGATTATAGAAATAAAAACGCAATTTACACTGTGTAAAAGTATTAAATTTATTGGTACATAGAACCGAAAATGCCATCCTTTTAAAGAGTTTTTCATAGCCCTATGACGAATGCGTCATCAAAGTCAGGCGATTTCAAGCATGCAATAGTCGCGTTATATGAGCATAAAATGTGCTAATAAATTTTTAAATAATGAGTTTTATTTTTACTATAAGGTAACAACATGCATGCGATACAAAAAATAATCAATTTTGAGTTGATTATTTTTTTGCTTTTTTGTTTTGTTTACGAACATTAGAGTGGAAAAAATTTAAGGTCTAATGGTCAATTGCAAAAATAAGATTGATAAGAAACATATGGCAATTAGCATACCAAATGTTGGGTTAACACAGCGTATACGCAACATTAAAAATAATTATTTTAGCTAATTGTAAAATTGCACATCATAACGAAAAAATAAAACAAAATTCCATTTGTAAATTTTTCAGGAATAGAAAATTTAACTATATCAGTTATGTAAAAATAATTAGATTAAAAATATATACTATTAATATTTTTTAATATAAATACTTAACAAAATATTAACTTTAATATAAGTAAATCTAGATATTTTGGTAAAAATGTAAAAATACAATATATATATCTAATTTTCCCCCAATTATATTGGATTATCTTAAATAAATAGAAAATTCAAATAAAGTTAATTAAGTATATAAAAGCATGATGAAGCAGTAAACCAAATACAACCAAAAACTGTTATCATTTATTGAAATTAAACTATTTTTGTCTGCTCTATTACTTAAATACATGTCAGTTGTACAATTTTTAATAGAAAAATAAAGCTAAATTCTAGAGTAACGTATGAGGAAACGAAATGTTATCAGTGACCCTGACTGTAACTATTGAATGAATTGATTCTATGTGAATGACGTTAAAATTACAACAAACTATGGTATATATAGCAGCATATTATTTTTCATATTTCAATATAAAGATGATAACAACTGTTGAAGGAAGATAAATTTATTGCATGTGTATTGTAAAAGCTAATTAAATTAATAATAAACTAACAGAATTGTTTAAGGTTATATTGTAGGTTATTAACCGGCAATGCCGACTTGTTAATACAAAAATTAATCTTAATACAACGCCTAAGTCGACAATCAGAACCTCTGTTTCAGTTAAGAGATATATATCGTTAAAGTTGTAGTATATTATTTTATCTGTGTTTAATGAAACTCTCTTTTCCTACTTTATTTACTTTTAACGTTTTCAAACCAAACGTTAAAGGTTGAGCTTTTATGCAACGATGGTTGATCACGCTAGGAACACACTTTCTAGAAGGTCTTGGGTACTAATATTTTCTTGAAAGCGCATCTTAAGTTTTAATAAAAGTAACAGATGATTTCAAACATTTCGAATTTTGTGCGGTTGGGCAATTAATCGCCCCGTTAGTACCTAACCTAACATCGGCTAAAGCAACTTATGTATATAGTAAAATCAATAAATTTATACATATTTAATATTTAAACATAAACATATTTCTAAGAGTTTATTACTTTTGCTCTTCTCTTATATTTGTTTCTTACACTCAGTAACTCAGCTATAATAAGTGAGTTAATTAAAAACTTATTTCCAAAATTAATTCAAAGTGTTTTGTTAACAAAAAAATTAAAAAAAATAAATTAATACAATAATTAAAAATACAGAAATTAGTATTACAAGACATAATTTGTTTTCAAAATAAACCGAAACCGCGTGTTTGCTGTCAAAATAAAAACGACGTTTGACACATGAAAAATAAAAATTTTAAATAAAAAATAAGCAAGAAACAAGAAAGCTACTGAAAAGAACTATAACAATATGTCAAAACTAAATAAAAATAAAATATAAGCGCAACTGTAAAAAAAAATATAAACAAATAAAAACTGACCTATAACATTTTAAATAATTAAGTTATAAACAATTTTAAAGAAGCATTCGAAAAATACTATTTTACGACAGATGTACATAAAAAGATATTTTTAAGTTTAAAAGATATACAGCAGATATACAGCTCAACTGTCAAATATTTAGAACGGAAAAGTTCAAAAGTAGAACAGGTTAATTGGTTTACTAATGCATAAAACTGATTTGTTTTTAATAGCTTTTTGTAAAGGAGATATTTTTTAAAGATATTATTCGCAATACTGAATGCTGTCATACATCCATCCTTTAAAGGGAGAATACTATTTATAGCTAATAAATTTAGTTATAAATAATTTATATGAGTTGAGAATTTTATCATTATTTGTCTATGAAAATTATTTTTAAAATATATTTTCAATCTTTCATAATTTTACACAGATAAGATTTCGCTAAGAATATTACAACGCAGTTGAGATAGAAAGAGAATAATGCGCAGCAAAATAAAATGCTCAGTTGTACAATTATTAATAAATAATGAAATTTATATAAAAAAAAAAAAATTATATATAATTATGTATATATATAACAATCAAATTATTTAAAAATAAAAATTAAGATTTTCGGTTGACCCCTATTAAAACCATTGAACTTATGAATTTGCAATTAAAAGGAATAAATTGAACGAGTAATTTAAACG